AGTAAGCACAAGCCCGCCTTGTTTCAGTGCCTATGCTTAAACTGCCCCCTGGCTGAACACTCCTCTCTCTTCAGGTAGGGACTCTTTTTTCCCATTTCATGAATGTTTTTGTAGAATACCTTTTCCTTATACAGGTAGTCCCTGACTTGCAATGGGATTCTATTCCAACAACCCAGTTATATAAGTCAGTTCTGATGTAAGTTGAATGCTTCTCTTTTTTTTTTTTCCCTTAAGTTTTCATTATTATTGTCTTTGTTATTAGTATCTTTATAAATCCAATCTGTATTTGTCTTTGTGTGTTGTAAACATACATATAAACTTACAGACACATGTTAGTATTTATGTACATAATAACACAAATGATAAAAATTTACTCAGGTGATGAAGAAGAGTTGAATGATATTAACATTTTGTCAGTTGCAGTAAAAACTCCACTTGTGGAAGGTTGTGGATCATCTGGATTGTCACTGGGAATAGGGATGGAGTTTCTAATCAGAAAATTATAGTGTGTGTATGGTCCTTTTCTTTTTGTCTTCATATATTTTACAGTTAACAGCTCACTGCTTCCCAAATCTGCCTTTTGACTTGTGGTAGTTAAGGTGATGTGTCAACTGGGCTGAACCGTGGTTTGGAGTGCTTGGCAAAGTCAGAGTCATTGCTGTCGAGTCGAACCCGACTCACAGCAACCCTTCCTTGGGTTTCTGAGGCAGTATCTCTATGGACGTAGATTGCCCAACCGTTCTTCAGGAGTGGCTTGTGGGTTTGAACTGCCAGCCTTCTGGTTAGCATCAAATCCCTTAGGCAGTATGCCACCAGAGCTCCTTGCAGATGTATGTAATTATTCCCCATGATGAGATTGTAATCACCTCTGTGGTGGAATCTGCTGTGAGGAGGTAAGTAGTTGCCTTTAGGGTATGGCCTGCTTCTAGTACACATGGAGAAGCTTCAAGGAAGGTCTCTAGTTTTTTGGTACATTTTGGATCCTCCATTTGCCCAACTTTTATGTCCAGTTCCTGGACTTGAACCAGTATACTACCATGTTGCCTGCCAGTCTTGTGATTGTGCCATTTTACCTGCTGATCTTGGGTTTGTTAGCTTCAGCAGCCAGTAGCTGTATGAGTCAGAAGAACCCTCCAACTTCAGTGGGTTTGGAACAAGAGGTAGAGCTGGAGCCCAAGGTCAAGGGGCTTTCATCTAGCCGCTAAAGCCAGCAATGTGAATTTCCACTTTTAGCCTCTAAACTGTAAGAGAAAAATATTCTTGTTTGTTAAAGCCATTCACTTGTGGTATTTCTGTTACAGTGACACTAGAGAACCAAGAACCAAGACAGACTTTAGCAAAACATTTGGGTCCAGCAACTGAAGCCCCTGATTTAGTTTAGAAAAAACTTCAGCTAATCCTTTCACTGTAAACTTTTTTTTTACAATTTCTCTCCTCCCTCTTGCATTTCTTACAAGTTCATTAAACCCTGATCTGTCATTTCCCTTCTTTGTAATCTGTGAGCTGTTGCACGTCAAGGATATCAAGTTCTAAATTCAGCATTCTTGCTGTATGGGTGATCTTTCCACCAGTCTCTTCCATCATACTATCCTGATCAAATACTTGGAGTATGTTCATGTAAATTAGCAGTTTTTCCCATATTCCCTGCATGCGTTTTCCCATAACTTCCTCCCAGGATGATACAATTATTCTGTTCTGGATAAACAGAAGTATATTATAATTTTTCCAGAAATTGTGTAATGTTACCATATATCCATCTATTGTAGCTGTTGCACAAGCGAACATAGTCTGTAGGTATTATTCCTTGAAGGTGATGATTGCAACTTAATCCATAGGCTGAATCACAGCTGTTGAATTGGGAAGTAGATATAACACTTTCACATCGTGATTTAGATAATCTACATAAGGAGGATGCTCTGAGGTTTTCTCAAGTAATGGCTGTTGGGCACATACACTGTTTAGTTGTCATATATCATTAGAGTTGAACACTTGCCCAACTTTCTACCTGTTATGACTCCTGACGTCAGCTTCATTGTAGACCAGGCCATAGCCTGCTATACAGCATGTTTTGAAAAGTAAATTATAATATCGAACATTTGCAGTGAACATCTGGGAATGATAACATCAGCAAATTATACACTGTGACATTGTATATAGTACATACTACTAACTGTAAGATGTACAAAAACAAAAAATAGTCATACGTGCAGTTTGTTGTAACATGAATATGTTGTAAGTCAGGGAATACCTGTAATAATTCAACTCTTTGGGAAAATTGAGACCTAAATGAGTGTCTTCAGCTTCCACCTGAATGCTTACAGTTTGCCAACTCTTTATTTTCTGCTAAAGTAATCACATTATTATACTACAGAACTCTTTCTTTGCTGTACTATGTCTGTTTTAAAGTATTTTAAAGACATGCTGCTTTTGCCAAAGTAAATTATCACTGACCAACTTATTATTTATTACATGCTACTTCTGTAGTAATCTTATAGCTCATCAAAGAAACGATCATACCCTCATTGGGCATGTTAGTATTAAGTCATTCCTTTTGAAAGTCTTAAATGCTTTTTTTCCCCTTACAGTAAACTTTAATCTTAACAGAACAGCTGTTAAAATTGATCTTATTATCACTTGTGTAAGTAAAGGATTAGTGATTTCCCGGCTTAATTTCCATAGCTGTGTCTTGTTATTTTGACAGAATCACTCCCTAAAGAAGCTTGAGCAGACCCTGACTTACTCTGTATTTTCAAAACATTCGTGTTAAGTAGATGTGGATGAATGACGGTATCTAACAATAATAAAAAAAAAGTACAAAAAATTTGAGTGATCCCACAAGGAGTTATAGTTGGAGTATGATCCTGTGTTTGATATGTTTACTGGCTCCAGACTTTAATTCAGTTACAGAACTGAAATATCCTATGATGATGATGAAAACTATTGCACAGATGTAACGTGTGTTTTCATTTCACAGGTAACCCTGTATCATTTATTAAAGCTGTTTCAATCAGATACTAATGCAATGCTGGGGAAAAAAACAGTGGTTTCAGAGTTTTATGATGAAATGGTAAGAAGTTTTCATATGAGAATTTTAAAAGCGTTTTAAGTTGATGAACTTTGAAGATACTGAACTCTCTTCCCATTAGATATTTCAAGACCCAACAGCAATGATGCAGCAATTATTAACAACATCTCGTCAACTTACATTAGGAGCCTATAAGCATGAAACAGAATGTAAGTGCCATATATTCATAATTAATCCTAAAAAATAATGTATTCAATTTATGGTAAAAGGAATGTATGATTAGCACCTATTCTATTTTTGTTTAAAATTACAGGTAAATTTTTCAGAAGTTAAAAAACACTGTAGAATATGGAAGAAACAGGTTTTAAATTGTTCCCAAAGTAGACCTGTTTTCAAAAAGGTGAAGGACAGGCTCTCACCGTCTCTGAAAAACTGATTTGTCTATTTTATCCCCTAATTACATTTTCACATAGCTTTTCATTAGTCTCAACCTGTTATTCAGTCATTTTCAGTTCGCTAGTCTTCTCTAAGGAGCTGTGATAGCGTAGTGCCTAAGGCACTTGATTGCTAACCAAAAGGCTGGCTGTTCAAACCCACCAGCCACTCTTTGGAAGGTAGGTTGGGCAATCTACTTCCGTAGTGATACCGCCTCGGAAACCCAAGGAGGGGTTGGTATGAGTCCAACTCAATAGCATGTAACAACAACAACAGTCTTTGGTAACAAAATCTGGGTGAAGAATCTTGCATAACATCATTATCCTTTTGTGCATTTTAAACAAGTTTATTTTATATTTTTACCTATGTCATTTAGCATACAGTTTAGGGTAATGCCAGGGTAGTGGTAATACCTGAACACCATGTTACTAGACAGTCATGGTATGTCTTTCCTTTAAGTCGACATTCTCAGAATTCTTTACATATCACCCTGTGCAGCTTCTGCCACTCATTTGAAGTTGGCGCTTGAAATGAAACCTGTTTGCCATCCCTTTGTTAATATTCATTTCACTGTTCAGTCCTTCTTTTAATCCTCCATTCAGAGTGTATATTGAGTACCAAGTTATTTGGCAGGCATTGTTCCAGGGCCTGGGGATAGCAGTGTCCAAAGCAGATAAAAAGTCCTGCCTTCATGGAGCTTATATTCTAGTGAAAGAAAGATAATTGGTAAATAATAGATAAAGTATAAGATGATGAGTGCTATAGAGACAATTAAAGTAGGGCTGCCTTTGGCAGAAGGACATCGTTGGAGTATTGCATTTTCTCAGAGAATGCTTCATAAGATTGTATCATTTGACCAAAAACCTAAAGAAGTAAGAGAGTGAGCCACATAACTATCCAAGGGAAGAATGTTCATGTAGACAAGAGCAGCAGGAGGAAAAGTTTTGAGGCTTCCCCATCTGGCATATCTGAGGAACAGCAAGAAGGCCATTGTGATTGGAATGGAGTAAATAAGAGGATGAGGAATAGATGAAGCCAGAGAAGATAATAGGGGACCAGGTCATATAGGGGCTTATGGGTAACTGTGAGGACTTTAGATTATTACACCAAAAGAGATGGGAAATTATAGGTGGGTTTTGAGCAGAAGTATGTGACATTATCAGACTAATATTTTGATCCAGATCTGATGGAATGTCGGCTTGGACCAGAGTGGTAGAAATGGAGGTGGTAAGAAAGGGTCAGATTCTGGGTCTGTTTTAAAAACAGGTACAATAGCATTTGCTGATGGCTTAAATAATGGGGTGTGAAAGAAAGACATAAATGAACATTAATTTCTTAAAGTTTTGTACCTCAGAAGTGAAAAAAAAAGTCACTTTTCTTATAATGGAGAAACCTGGGAGGAATGGGTTTATAAGGAAAGATTAGAAAAGCAATTTTGGACATGTTAGAGGTAGGATGTATATAAGACATGTAAGTGGAGATGTTGAGAAGGGAGTTCAAGGAGAGGTCTAGACTGAAGATACAAATTTGTAAATTAATAGTATATAAGTGGAATTATAATTTGTGGGACTGAGTTGTATTATTGAATGGATGAAGATAGAAAAGAGATCCAAGGATTGAGCCCTAGGCATGGCAGCATGCCGAGATTGAGAAAATAAGACCAACAAAGGCGATTGTGAAAGAACAGTGAGTTAGGGGCAAGAAAAACAGGGAGGTTATAATGTCCTGAAAGCCAAGAGGAAAATTTCAAGTTTAATTAACTTATTTTTTTAAAATTAGAGAAATGAGTATCTACAACTGTGCTTAAATAGTTGTCAGCAGCAATTACCTAAAATGTCCACAAGATGGAATTATAGGATGAATGTAGTCATATTTCTTTTTAAAGCATTATGTTACACTATCCTGGTAGAATAGTTAAATACATGTATCCTACTTTACAGTAATAACATTTTCTTTAGTAGGTATGTGGCCAGCTAGAATGTTTTAAATATCATTTAGTGTTCCTGTGTCATCATAATAGTTAATGTAGCTTTTTTTGAGTACTCTACATGCATTAATTCATTTAAAATCTCCTCAACAAATAATATCATGAGATATTCGCTATTATATTACATATGAAGAATAAGCAGAGAAAAGTTAAATAACTTACTCAGGGTCTTACATTTAGTAAATGACAGAGCTAGAATTTAAATCTAGGCAGTTATAGCTTTCTTTTTTGAGAAAAGATAAGAGTTTGTTTTGACAGCATTATGGTTATATAAATTTCACCTTTGTATAAAGTTAAGAATATTTGTATCTCTTGAGTCTGTATGCCCACTTACTTTATTTTTTTATTGTGATTTGGGTGAAAGTTTACAGAGCAAATTTGTTTTCCATTTAACAATTAATACACATTTTGTTTTGTGACATTGATTGCAATCCCCACGATGTAACAGTACTCTTCCCACTTTCTTCTTGTGGTTTCCTTTTCCCTGTGTCCTTTCCAATACATTCCGGCCCTTCAGGAATCAGATGCCATCCTCTGATCTCCCATGGTGAATTGTTCTAAGAAGTGTACCTACCTGGTGAAATTGTTCATCTCATAGGCCTATTTGTTTGGCTGGAAGTTAAGCTACAGGAGTGAGTTCAATTCCAGGCTTGAAGGGTGACTAGGTGCCCACTTATTTTCAAATTAATGTCTCTATATGGACAAAGATGAGGACATTCTGTCTTAAAATCTTACCTATGAGTTGCAATATTAGTGGCTGGAATTCCACTGTTAGTTGTAGAAATTATCTTTGATCCTTTCTGGGAATTCAGACTTCCTTACCTTTAAATGTTATATATCTTAAGTTCTCCACATTTCATCATGGAAAGGTTTACTTAAAGAAATATTTATTTCTCTATGAAATATCTTAACACATGTGAGAAAAATGAAATAATTTAGTAAAAAGTATTTGCTTTCCTTAGTTGCAGAACTTGAAGTGAAAACCAGAGAAAAATTAGAAGCTGCCAAGAAAAAAACAAGCTTTGAAATTGCAGAGCTTAAAGAGAGATTAAAAGCAAGTCGTGAAACTATAAATTGTTTAAAAAATGAAATCAGAAAGCTTGAAGAAGATGATCAGACAAAAGAGATATGAACAGTTCTGAAGAGAACTTGATAATAAGCTAGACTGAAAAAAAGTGGACCTTAACAGTGAAATGGACTTAATGTAAGTGCTGTTATGTTTCTTAGAGGAACTGCTTATATAGTTGTTGACCGTGGATATCTCAGCAATGACTCAAGGTATTTGTCCTATTCAAGCCATCTTTAATGTGAAACATATGTGTGTAATAAGAATGGATGCTGTATGGGCATTTTACCAGCCCATTTTAGGGTAATCCTATGATGTTAAGCACAATTTTGAAAATTTTTTTATTGCATTGTATTTACAGCTTATTCTTTTAATGGATTTAAATTTTTTATGTCAAGTATAACTTGTACAACATTTGTACTTTTCCAGTTAAAACTAGTGCTAAAATTGATGTGTATATTTCTTGAAGTCCTTACCTGTCCATTTCCTGCCTGTTTTACATATGATGTGCCCAGTAAGTGCTTAGTAAATGTAGTTTATGGATCCTGTTTCTGCCTCTTGATGTTTTTCTTCCTCTTCGAAGACTTTCTGAAACTCCCTCATTACAGTTAATGTATCTTCATAGTATTGTGACCACACAACTGTTACTGGCACTCATGGTAGCGTACAGAAGCTCTTTGATGACAAAGATCCTATCATAAGAATTGCTCTGACTAACTATGACAGGGCCTTTATCCTTCACATAGAAAAAGATTCACCCCTTTATGAATGTTCCAAAGACACATAGGAAGTAGCTGTGCATCAGCTAATATCACCACCCCTAATAGCTCTACTTTGTCCATAGCCTCTGCTGGTCACATCCACAAAGTGAGCCCTCTTCTTTTGGACTCATCTAGTTTGAACATTTAATAATGTTTATTTTTTTGAGGGAATGCTGGCTGAGTCCTCCTCTGGCAACCTTTAACAATAATAGGTTAGAAAGTATGCAGACATGTAACATTAATATAAGTTACACAGCTCTGAGAAACTAACAAACTGTGCCTAATGCGGGGATTTTGTATTCTCAGTGTAGTGGAAAGTGGCCATTCTTGTACTTTATAATACTTTTTATCTAATCTGCCCTTGTTAATTGGTTACTTTTTACTTGGTTGCTATTTTTGTTTCTTAAATTGAGGCATTTATGAATAAGGAGGTTGTGCAAAGGGTCCTGTCTGAAATTTCAGGGGTCCTCTGGGGAAATGGTGCTTCCAGCTGTGCAGGGCCTCATCCAGCTTTCTTCCATCTCCCTAGCCTAATGCCAGCCAGGCCCATTAGGATGAGATTCTCCACAGCACAGGGAGAGCCTGGGGATTGATCAGATAAAAGCACTGATGGGAGGGAAATCCTTTTTCACTCGAGGAGCCCGGATAAGGGATCATTCCTCCATTCTTTTAGTTAGATTAGACCCCCAAAATGCTTTGGCTCAAAATGGGAGTCTGTAGAGGTAGGGCTAGCTTTCTGCATGGATGAATTCAAAATATGCCATTATGCTTAGTGTTTCTGTCTGCTTTTATTTCTTTATCTTTTATCTTAGTTGGATTTCCCCATGAGTTTGCAAAAATGGTTCATGGTAGTCCCATGAGTGCTTGGACTTCACAGCTAGCAATCAGAAAATAATGTTCCTTCTTTTACCCCAGAGACTATGATTGCCCCTCTTTGGGTCAGGTTATCACTGCAGACATAGCACACTATCCTGGGAGTAGTACTCTGTTTGGCCAGCCCAGATCACAGGAAAGGTAGTCCATATGAATGTTGTTGTTATATGCTGTCTAGTCGGACCCGACTCATAGCGACCCCTCCTTGGGTTTCCGAGGCAGTATCACTATGGAAGTAGATTGCCCCATCTTACTTCCAAGGAGTGGCTGGTGAGTTTGAACTGCCAGCCTTCTGGTAGCAGTCAAGTGCCTTAGGCACTATGCTACCAGAGCTCCTTCTATATGAATAATGGCATTTAAATGGAATTTGTAGATAACTGAGTAGCATCATTGCCATGGTGGAGTGTAGCTCCTAAATTTGGAGAACGAATTTTAACATCCAGTTTTCCAAAGCTTATTGTCCATGTTTTACTAAGCCTATTAACTATGAAAGAGTATCCTAGAATTTAAAATTAATACAGTGTAAAAAATAGTTTTATTTTAAAGCTGAATCAGTCTTCCTCATTTTACAGACAAGAAAACTGAGGTACAAAGATGTAAGAGAGTAGAACTAGAATTAAGTCTTTTTTTCAAGGTCCAGTGTACTTTTTATTATACTGTATCCTATAACTTCCTTAAGGAGCCCTGGTGGTACAGTAGTGCTTGGCTGCTAACTAAAAGGTTGGCTGTTTGAATCCATCCATCAGCTCTGTGTGAGAAAGACCTGGCAGCTTAGAAAACCCTATGGAGCAGTTCTGCTCTGTCACATGGGGTCACTGTGAGATGAAAATTAACTGATGGGCATCCAACAACAACATACCCTCCTTTAGTATTCTATACAAATTGATACAAACTGCATCACTCTAGTTTCTAAGTAATGAAAGTTTATATCCTTGTCTTAATGAGTTTAGGGAAATGTCAGCTCTTAGGTGCCTGCCCACCCCCCAGTCTACGGTATTATTTTAATTAAAGTGGAAGATTTCATTTAACTCTTCTGTGACTTTTAAAGTAAGATTTAGGTTTTTTCTCATTTCTTTTGTAAACTTGTATACTCCCATTATAAAATATGTTGTTGTTGTTGTTGTTATGTGCCATTGAGTTGGACCCGACTCATAGCGACCCCTCCTTGGGTTTCCGAGGCAGTATCACTACGGAAGTAGATTGCCCAACCTTCCTTCCGAGGAGTGGCTGGTGAGTTTGAACTGCCAGCCTTCTGGTTAGCAGTCAAGTCCCTTAGGCACTATGCTACCAGACCTCCTATTATAAAATATAGCTGTAGAAAAACATTTAAGTAGCACACTATCAAGAAAGTTAAAAAGACAACCTACAGAATGAGAAAATACTTGCCAATTATATATCTGAAAAAACTCTAGTATCTAGCATATATAAAGAACTCTTATGACTCAACAATAAAAAGATAACCAATTAAAAATTGAGCAAAAGATTTGAAAAGATGCTTATCTAAAATGGATCTAGAAATTGCCAATAGGCACATGAAAAGATGCACAGTATCATTAGTCCTTAAGGAAATGCAGATCACAATGACAATGAGATTACAGCTTCACACCCATCAGGATAGCTATAACTTGAAAAAAAAGAAATGTTGATAGGGATGTGGAAAGATTGTAGCCCCTTTTAGAAGAGTTTGGCAGTTCTTAAAAAATTGTGAGTTCCTCGTAAGTTACCATATGACTCAATTCCACTTATAAGTATAGACCCAACAGAATTAAAATGCTCCATATAAAAACTTGTATACAAATGTTCATAGCAGCATTATTCATATAGCCAAAAAGTAGAAACAAGCTAAATATCCATCAGCTGATAAATAGATGAACAAAATGTAATATATCCATGCGGTGTTTTAGTGATAGAAATGAAGTATTGATACATGCTACAACATGGATGAGTTTTGTAAACATGGTAAGTGAAAGAAGCCATTTGACTAGCAAATCCCTAGAGACAGTAAGTAGATTAATAGTAGCAAAGGGATGAAAGGAAGGGGAAATTGAGAGGAACAGGGCTGCTTTTTGGGAGTTCTAGGAATGTTGCAAAGTCTTGTGAATTGCAAAGTCTTGTGAATATGCTAAACACCGAGTTGTACGTTTTAAAATGGTTAAAATGGTGAATTTTATCTCAATAAAATATACATTTAAAATTGTTTAAGTGACCGATTTTGTTTAAAATTCTGAAGACCTTTGGAATATTCTACAAATCCTGATTTCTGATTCCCTCTTCTTGTTTCTACAAGTGAAAGAAAATCTTTTATACCAAAGAATAATTCCTTAATCTACATAAGGAGCTCTGGTAGCATAGTGCCTAAGGCACTTGACTGCTAACCAGAAGGCTGACGGTTCAAACCCACCAGCCACTCCTTGGAAGGAAGATGAGGCAGTCTACTTCCGTAGTGATACCGCCTCGGAAACCCAAGGAGGGGTCGCTATGAGTCGGGTCTGACTCGATGGCATATAACAACAACAACATAAGGACTAAGAGCAATTAGAGGAAACTCAACTAATTAGCTCCCATCTTTCAAGAAGATCAGACTATTTGTAAGTCTGTTTTTCTAACCACTGTGGTAGGTGGTTAGTGCTGTTAACCATATTTTACACATAGGAGATCAGGGGACTATAGTTTGATCTCAAGTCAGTCAGCAGTGTTTCAGAGTAGAAATTTAAAGCTATGGGCCTTTTTACCTCAAAACTACATAATTCTTCTCTTGTTCAAAGCATTAGCGTTTTTAGTTGCTTATGCCTAAATATTTCTCAAACTTTCCTTTAACTGGAGTAAATTAAGACTATATCAAATAGGAACATCAAGTGGTATGAATGCAAAACACTGATAAGAATCTTGCTAGACATTAATAACATCTAAGAAAATTCTGATGATGAATACTGTTGGTGGGAATCCTAAAGAATAAATATTTGAAAACTGTAGAAGACAGTTCAGCTATCTATTCCTTCAGATTACACCCCAGTATCTCTAGTTTTTGTTTTGAAATAGTAATAGATTTCAATCTCTTGAGATTAAAACACACAAAAAATAAAATCATAAAGGTGCTAGCTTAAAAAAAAATGGGTCATACAGTAACTATTAAAATTCCTTCTTGTCCCTGAAGTCAAGAAATGATAAAAAGTAAGTCATTTTTATCACAGTGCACTCTTAGAAGATGAAAATAGCTTCCATTTGTATAGTTTACTACTTCTGTATTTGATTATAATAATTTTAGCAACTCCAGTGTTTATCATTGAATATAATACAACTTTGGAAGAGTGTATGGAAGGAAGGAAGAAGAGAAAATAGAAATGGGAAAGGAAAAAGGAAGAATATGCCCTGGGGAACTTTTTGAAAATACGGAGTCCCAATTTCCATTCCCAGAAATTTGATTCACTAGCTCTGGAATGAGGTCCAGGAGTTTGCATTTGTCCGAGGCATCCAGCTTATTTAAGAAAGATTGTCACAGTGGCCTAGTTGATAAGTTGGACTAGAAAAAAATGTAACACTTCTATACCCATAAAACCCATTGCTGTCAAGTCAATTCCAACTCACAGCTACCCTTGTTGGACAGGGTAGACTTGTCCCATAGGATTTCCAAGGCTGTAATTGGGAGAAAGATGTGGCAGTCTGCTTCTGTGAAGCAAAAGTTAAAACAAAGTAATTACTAATTTATACACAACCATGCAATAACAGTAATGACAGTCAACAACAAGCTGAACAGATATGGGAAGAATGAGACTGTACCCACAAATACATGTATAGGTTTGACAGGATTATTTCTATGTGTATATTTACATATGCTGCAAATATAGCCTTAAATATAGTAGCACATACAGGGGGATAGTTACATAAACTTCTTAGCTATAACCAAAAAACCTGA